GGAGAGTTTATACACCCACACTAAGGGCAACGGTGACAGTCCCGAAGACAAATTATCCTCCCTCTGCTGGGTGTTGGCACTCCTGCTGCCTCTGTCTCCTCCAGAGCTACAATTGGGTGGCTGTGGGTTTGCCCAGCTATACTTCGAGTTGCTGGTATCTCCGTTCCAGACATTCCTGTTTCCCCTGCCCCCCCCCCAAGTAGCTGGGCCAAGGAGAGGGTTTAGAACTAGTGCCCCAGTTCCTTCTAGGCACCCTCAACTGCACCAACACTTCAGGAGTCTTCCTTAAATATACATAGCTCTGAAAAGCAGCAGGCTCTGATTCTTCTGGAAAGTCTATCCCAACATGATAGCCTACCTGGGCATCTTCTAAAGTGCCTCATCGGGTCCCTTCCTCTTCTATGTCCTCCACTATCACATCAGGTAAGAGTTCCTGCATCTGAACACCTTTTTTCTCCTTCCTCTTTCCTACCCCCTTCTCTTCCTGCTCTCCTACCTCCAAAGCCTCTGTTATATCCTTTGATTTTTAGGGGCCCTGTGCCCCCTGAACCTCTATGTGGCATTCTTCTTCTCCTGGGTTCTCTGAACACAGCTCCTCTCCCAGGACCCCCATCTAGGTTCCAAATTCCCAGGGCTTGGGTTCATTTTCTCCAAGTTCCTCTGGCACCCATTCGGCTCAGAACACATTGTTCCAGTTCCCAAGTGACTGCTTATGATGATTCCTGTCTCAAAAGGGGCTGGTATCCTCCTCCTAACACTGTCAATATGTTCTTTTTAAATACATTTATATTTTTAAATTTGTTTTATATGAATTTAATATTTTTTATTTCAGTTTTTCATTGTTTTCGTATGTTGCTTTAATTCTTGTATGTGTGCTTTTTTAAAAAAAAGGATTGGGTCCCACTGCCAGGAATGTTAAATGAAAATATAAAGCAAAACAGCCTTTAAAGAAATCCGATACTTAACTCCTGAATATCAATCACCAGACAAAGTCAAGGTTGTTGTTGTTTAGTTGTTTAGTCATGTCCGACTCTTTGTGATTCCCATGGACCAGAGGACGCCAGGCCCTCCTGTATTCCACTGCCTCCCGGAGTTCAGTCAAATTCATGTTGTTCGCTTTGGTGACACTGTCCAACCATCTCATCCTCTGTCGTTCCCTTCTCCTCTTGCCCTCACACTTTCCCAACATCAGGCAGTCTTCTCTTCTCATGAGATGGCCAAAGTATTGGAGCCTCAGCTTCAGGATCTGTCCTTCCAGTGAGCACTCAGGGTTGATTTCCTTCAAAATGGATAGGTTTGTTCTCCTTGCAGTCCAGGGGGCTCTCAAGAATCTCCTCCAGCACCACAATTCAAAAGCATCAATTCTTCGGTAGTCAACCTTCTATAACAACGGACCACTGTAAGAATCAATGGGTTTTTCCTTGAGGGCAGATTTCCATCGGCCCTCAAGGAGACACTCATTAGGCCCATCAGGAAGAAACCCAGTTTGGCGGTGGACGAAATTGGCAATTATAGGCCCGTCGCCAATGTTTCTTTCCTAAGCAAAGTGGTTGAGAGGGTGGTGGCTGACCAGCTTCAGGGCATCTGGACGAAACAGATGCCCTGGATCCATTTCAGTCGGGCTTCAGGCCGCGCCATGGTACAGAAAAGGCATTGGTCGCCCTGTGTGATGACCTACTGAGGGAGGCCGACAGGGGCAAAGTGTCTCTGTTGGTCCTGCTAGATATCTCAGCGGCCTTCGATACCATTGACCACGGTATCCTCCTGGGGAGGCTCTCTGAGCTGGGAATTGGTGGCCAGGCATTGGCCTGGCTCTGTTCCTTCTTAGAGGACCGCCCCCCAGAGAATACAGCTTGGGGAGAGCGTCTCAGCCCCGTGGAGTCTCAATTGTGGGGTTCCGCAGGGGTCAATTATCTCCCCAATGCTGTTCAACATCTATATGAGGCCTCTGGGTGGGGTCATCAGGGGGTGTGGAGCACATCTCTTTTTAACCCACCGCAGGAGATGCTGTTCTGTCCCTCCAGCGCTGCCTGGGGACTGTACTGCAATGGATGCAGGAGAACGGGCTGAGGCTGAACCCGAACAAGACGGAGATGCTGAGGGTGGGCGCCCCCACAGTGGGGGGCCTGGGAAACTCCCTTGTTTTTTGGGGGGGGTGACTCTTCCCGCCAAGGATGGGGTCCGCAGCTTGGGGATCCATCTGGACCCGTCGCTCACTATGGAAACACAGGTGGCGCCTTTTTTCATCTTAGGCGGATAGCCCAGCTATGGTCCTATCTCGATGTGGGGGGGCTCACGACCTTGGTGCATGCGCTCGTAATCTCAAGATTAGACCACTGTAATTTGCTCTACGTGGGGCTGTCTTTGAGGCTGCTGCAGAAACTCCAGGTGGTGCAGAATGCAGCGGCCAGACTTCTCAGTGGAGTGAAAAAATATCAACATATCTCATCCACCCTGGCCGCATTGCATTGGCTGCCCATCCGGTTCCGCATCGATTTCAAAGTGTTGATGCTTACGTATAAAGCCCTAAACGGTTTAGGACCTTGATACTTGACGGAACGCCTACTCCCACCAATATGTACCCGTGTCACTCGTGCGAGCCAGGAGGTGAGGTTGAGGAGCCTAATGCCGAGGGAGGCCCGGAAGGAAAAGACAAGAAATCGGGCCTTCTCAGCGGTGGCTCCTCACCTCTGGAATAATCTACCCCCTGAGATTCGCGTGGCTCCCTCGCTGGGTATCTTTAAAAATCAACTAAAAACATGGATGTTTCGGCAGGCCTTCCCCTCAGTCAATTCCTGATTTCCCCTTTTTCTTTTCTCCCTTATTGTTTGTCTTACTTTCTTGTAATGTCTTTTATTATGTAAAAATCGGTTTTATAATGTCTTATTATGTATGTTGTAACATACATAATAGGTTTGTCATCACTTTCCTCCCAAGAAGTAGGCATCCGTTAAAGATTTTCCTCTTCCAGTCATTAATTACCTTTAATTTCTCCTTCTGGCCTGAGAGAGACATTCTATTTTATGTGTGCTTAGGATCACTCATACTGCACATATGCCAGCTTCTGTTAATAAAACGTGTATGGTTTGAGGCAACAATACACCTCTGCATCTAAATTACACTGAAGTGTGGTGTCCATTGTGAAGTGCAGGCGCTCATAATGGGAGCCTCAGTGGTCTCACTTGAAGGACAGTGAGCTGGCTTTATTTCTTAAACTGATCTGTGCTAGCCCATCTCAATTAATAGAAAAACATTCAGTTACCCCTCTCCATTTCTTGCAAGGGTTCACCAGTTATTCAACAGATGATGTCATTACTCCTCTGAAAAAAATTCTGGAGTTGTGCTTTGTGTTTTTCCTCTGCTATACCACTCCTGGGGTCTCAGAAAATTGCCCAGGAATTATCAGTATGATGTCAGTATTAATGTAGAGAAGGAGGAGCCTTGCAAAAACCACTCAGCATGCACACTGCCTTCTAGTGTGTATCCAAAGAACATATCTGTCATTTTCCTCAGAAATGTTCCAAGACCTTTCAAAAAACAGTACTCAGAAGTGGTTTACCATCCCATTCTTCTGGGGGCACTATGGGACTGCGCAGCTTGCCCAAAGCCCCACAGCTTGGCTCTTCTGGGCTGCGCAGTAGGGAACTGAACTCCCAACATCTGTGCATCCTAGAAGAACCAGCCTGTGTAGCCTTGGGCAAGTTGCACAGTCCCAGGATGCCCCAAGAACACATAAAACTGCAAGTGCAGCTATGTATCTCATCCTGCATGTAGCCCTTGCTTATTCTTCCAGTTCAAATCTCATGTTACTACCTTGTCAATGAACACACTTGCAGTGTGTTACTTCTCAAAATACACTGCTGAAGTTTTCCTACCTCAGAGAGTACTTCAATTGCCATGGCAGCAGATAAAAACGTTTTGTGCAGAAAAATGCAAAGTGAAGAAATTATTGAAGATCAGGCTGCTTTGATTTTGCTTCCAGCAAACACACCATAAAGGTTGGGCTGAGCATGTCCTACAGCACCACCTAGCAGACTGATGTAAAAAAATATTTTAGAGTAAGAGAAAACAGTACATACATATGTTTGTGTGCTGCCAAATACCAGTTTTGTGAGGCGAGCAGCCATGATCTTCCCCACTCCACACTTTCGTTTTAAGTATCAGTCTGATAACATGTGATTTAACAATGCAAAATGGTTTGAAAAAGCTCTTTGGGCGGACTTTTTTCATAGAATGCCCCTAGTGTGTGCGTGTGTATGTACTAATGAGAGACCGACAGAGCTCTTGCCTGGGCCATCTCCAGGATAAATGGCTTTTCTATCCGTCCAAGACTCCTTGTGGTTTGCACAGCTGTCCGTGGTAGGCAGGGACAGGCAGATATTTCCAGCCGGCCAGCACCCCCAGCCAACTCAATAGCTGCCTCTGGTTTTTCTTACCCCCTCAGGGTGTCGAACAGGTCTGTGACAAAAAAAATGAAGAAGGATGAGAGTCTGACATGCCTCTTTGTAGACTATGCAGCGATAAAGGACAGCATGTTAAACGCGATTTAACATGGGGCCATGGGCAGTCTCGAATGGTTTCCACGCGGGTAATGTTTACAAACTCAAAGCTGGCAGCCAGTTTCTTTTTATTATGATGATGGTGGTGGTGATGATGATTATTTCTTGATTCTCATCTTTTAAATTCTGCACAATAATCCCCTCCACCCCACGGTAGTTGCTGCAGGTCTTCTTAAAAGGCAGCATAATCCTGCCTTTCTCCTGTTCAGTTCTCTTCACAGGACCAAAAAAAAAAAGGGGGGGAGCATTAAGAAACGCCGAAGCAAGAATGACCTGGAAAAGGTCCTCTTAGACCTGAGGGCTCAGAGCCCCGCTACAGAAGGAATCGTCCTCCGTTGCCAAGACAACGCCGAAGTCCCGCGGGCCCCTTAATCCTGCGGAAGTGCAACATACGGTTTTCGCAACGGCTGGCCTGCTTTACGGCAGCCACGTGGTTTCCACCTCCTGGGACGTCAAGCTGCTGCTGCTGCTGCTGCTGCCGTCGTTGGTGCTGCTCAGAGAGTCTGAGTAGGTAAAAGTGGGAGGTGGGGGGGAATGCTTTAAAAAATGATAATACATGTCGATTTGTATTTTAGCAGAAGATCAGAGCTCTAAGATTCTCCGTGTAGTTTCTGCTGTAGGAGGTCAAGAAGTAGGGGCATAGATCCTTGCACCCTTTTAAAGTCATTTTCGCCAGCAAATGTTTAAATACGTATAGTGTTGTGCATAATACAAAGTTACAGTTACCGTTCCTTTTATAAAGAGCAAATAAAGGAAACTAAGGGGGATGCAAGAAGAAAACGAAGCATGGATGAAATGAGCTGCAGTTAAATGGAGGATTAAAAGGAGAGAGTTCCTAGGATTCTTCATTCAGCCCCCAGTTTAAATTCTGTGATATGTATGTAGCGTACATTCACTTGTTCCTTCGTTGCCAGACTTGCTAACTGCCAGAAGTTATTATGGTGGCAAGTATTATTATGCAACATTTTAAAAAATTTAATTTATATTGTTACTTCCGGGTTTTCACAGAGCCTTCTAGACAAGTGTTACTTTTATGTATCACAACCTGGAGCCTTAGCACGTAGGGAAACGTGATGTGCATGGGTCAGATATAAGAGCAAAATAAGTGGTGTGTACAAAGTTGAGGAATGCCTCAGAATTTCCTGCAGTGCTGTGGCCTGCCCAACTATCTTATTTCTCTATATGCTGCCACAGAAATTTAGAAGAATTACCACTTTGGTATATTGCAATTTATCTGAAAGATGCATGCCTCTCAAGGCTTTAAGAAAAGACAATAGAGAGGAGAAATCCATGGGTGACAATAAAGTAACCTGAAACCTGAAGTACCTCTGGTTATAGTTGAATTGTTTCTGCAGAAGAGAGAAAAAAGAATTGTAGATGCAGCTTTTTAAAAAAAGCACCAAAAATCTGTGGTTTGGCAGTTGTAACTGGACTTTCATGAATTGAACAAAACATTAACAGACTTCAAAACAAAAAAGAGGCAGTAATTTTATTTTTATATATTTATTTATTTACCATAGTCTCTCGAGACTGAAGGATGCCTATGGTATTCGATTTATATCCCGCCCATCTGGTATATTCTACCACTCTGGGCAGCTATATATTATATATTTATTTTTGTGCAGCTGTTACCTAATACTGTATATTCACAAGTTCAATGCCCTTATTTAAATGGTTTGAGATTTGGCTTCAAAACTTTAAGACAATGTTCCTCCAGTATCTTAATTTTAGGCAGAATCTAAAATTGCCAGACTAAGATGAATTATGTGTTACAGAGGGATCTAGACAAATGTAAGTTGACATTGCCTGTTGTATACTGACTAGAAGATGGCTATAGTGCACTGTTTTAAACACATTTTTCCCAAGAGTTTATGACAGGGCACTTGTTAGAGTTGTTTCCAAACACACCTTATTCTGACATCCATATAAAGTATGTCATACTGTAAGAGAGTAACTGGACCAAAATCAACCAGTGAGCTAATAAGGAATTTAATTAGGAAAACACTATGAACCATGTTATCACACTGGCTTTATTTCTTTATTTAAAATATTTTTACCCTGCCTTTCTCCTTAAAAAGAACCCAAAGTATCTTACATAATTTAAAAAACCATATTTAATGCTAACAACACTGAGTTTACAAATACTAATGGTGCCTGATTTGTAAAAATATATCGTGCCAGTGTGTTTACTTAAAAATACAGAGTTTAGCAAAACAAATATAAATCTTGGCTTTCTGGGATTGTTGGGGGTAAATAACTACTTTCATTCTTTGTGTAAGTAATAGAGGCTGGGATTTCCATCTTGGAAGACAAAATTAGCATCTCGTGGCAAACATTGTTGAATGATAATTCAACTGTTAGAATGTATTTGTTTTGGGGAATGTGTTGGCTGCTTTCATACAGTTTAGATTCCCATAAGAGGAAGAAAGAATAAATCAAAGAACAGGAAGGACGAGGCGAAGGAGGGTAGCATAAAGAGGAACATGAGATGAAAGTCTGGATATTTGGAGCAAAGGAAGAAAAGAACTAGAATGTAGTACAGGCTTGGCAAGGGCCTGGCACACAAGACTGATATTTTAAACGATCTTTTGAATATTTATTTGAAAGCAAACTATTGAGTTTGAGAGATTTGCTCCTCAACTTAGGGTGACAGGCCAGTAGTCCAGTCCTATATGTGTTTAATCAGAAGTAAACCCCTCCTGCTGGAAGTAAATAGGATTTATTTTGAGAGATTAAAAAAGTAGTTAACCCCCATTTAGGATTTTTGCAGTAATGTGACTTATGTTTACCTGATGAAAGACTACTGTTGTTCTTGCTATCCCAGGAGAAGACTAAATGGGACATTTCTTATGTGGTTTGCCACTTTGTACTATACCTCATCTTTCAAAGAAAAAGAAACAGGTTGAGAGGTATTGAGCCAGGAATGGAATGTAGCATAGGAGAAGTGACTTGAAACTTTTGCTTTTATTGCAGTAGTTTAGACACTATTTTAAAAAAAAGTTGTAAAAATTAATGTGTAATAGAACAGAATGTATTGATTGATTTGATCAATATGTCACCTTTCTCCCCAAACTGGGACCCAAGGCAGCTTACAGTATAATTTTAGACACCATTTTTAAAAAAAGTTGTAAAAATTAATGTGTAATAAATCATTGTTCCTATTAAAACAAATATAGTTAAAGCCTTTTAAAACTATCTCAGTTAAAAATTAAAAAAACCCTCAGTTAATAATAATCATAATGAAACAAGAGAAAAGCACAATATATCCTTTAATGCCCTGCCCTTAGCAACAATCAGCTGGCAAAAACCTGCCTGAAGAAACTTTTTGTATGCCTGTGGTAGAACATCAGGGAGGTGGCCAAGCTAGGCTCCCTTAGCAGCCACTGTAAAGGCCCTCTTTTGTGGCCTCTCTTTCTTCTGAAAATAATGCAACTGAGAGAAGTGCCTCTTATGAATCTCAAAGCTGGGGTGGACATACCGTGTTTCCCCGAAAACAAGACAGGGTCTTATATTAATTTTTGTTCCAAAAACTGCATTAGAACTTATTTTCAGGGGATGTTTTTTTTTTCCATGCACAACAATCTACATTTATTCAAATACAGTCATGTCATCATCTTCTGGTTGCTGCAGAATGGTGGAGGGTGGGGTTTCACTTAACTGGGGCTTATTTTTAGGGTAGGGCTTATATTACGAGCATCCTGAAAAATTATACTAGATCCTATTTTCAGGTTAGGTCTTATTTTCAGGGAAACAGGGTATGTGAAAATGTGACATTTCAAGTAGCCTGGTCTAATTACCGTAAGTCATAACTAGCAGATTGAATTGTGACCAGAAGGGTGTTGCTGACAAATGAAGCTGTTGTAACAAAAGAGTGTTATTCTGAATTTACCCAGCCCCATTCAACAGCTATGCCATGGGAGGGAAAAACAGAATTATGTACTCCTACGCCTCCTACTCACAATAGGAGGGGAGCAGTCCTTCCATTGTAAATTGCAGGTGTTAGGGGCTCCATTCCAGCTTGAGTTCCATAGCAGGGGCAAAGAAATAGTCTTTTTCTGGGTGTTTCTTTAAAAACATGAACCACAAAAGGCAACCGCATGGCAAATCCTGCTTCTACTTTAGTCTATAGTTTAAGCCAGGCTTGTCCAACCTGTGGCCCGTGGGCCACATGCGGCCCAGGTCAGCTTGTAATGCGGCCCAGTGCAATTTTTTATTTTTAAAGAAATTCCAAAGTTTCAAGTTACACTTGTGGGGCACATCACAAAGGTAGGGGGGGAGGGAAGGAAGGAAGGAGCAGGAGGGGAGGGGAGCTGCGTCACTGCATTTCACCATCCCTATCAATAGGTGGATCCCTTCCTGGCCCCATAAAGCCACCAGAGTCGAAGCTGGCAGCCTCTGCTGTCTGAGATCACAGCTGCTGGTAAGTGCGCTTGGAGCGGGGCTGCGGAGGACGGCTAGGGCTGCCCCCCCATGGGGCCCAAACCAAATTTATGTGCGGCCCAAACCAAATTTTCATCTTCTAATGTGGCCCAGGGAAGGTGAAAGGTTGGACACCCCTGGTTTAAGAGATATGTGTAGTGTGTTTCTGTTAACAAAACATAAACTCATCTGCTCTATTTAAAGCAGTGATAATAAGACATGCTTAAAATGAATTGAGATTGTTGTTTGCAACCGTATTCCTTGTTTCTCTTGAATATGTACAGGCTGGAGGTGACAATGGCAGTTCAGTTCTTTTGGAAAGCAGCAGCCATGGTGGAGAAGCACAGGACTTGTGTTCTGGCAGTTTCTTGTGCTGGACTTCTTGGGGCTAACTTAACCGTCCACCTCATACCTGGGCAGACATTCAAACCATTGTGTCAGGCTTGGTTAAATGGAAGACAAATGCAGCCTTCAGAAAAAATGCTGACCTTGTTCCGTGATATCCTCCATGAAGGCAAAGTGAGGGCAGCAAATCGTTACCAAGCTTTCTCAGTCTCCATCTTCCCACCATTGGGTGCTGGACTTCCATGGCTGCCTGCCGGTTGTTTTGTGGGCATCCCTGCCAGTTTCAATGATACAGACTGTGATGAAGAAATGATTAGCAAGCTTGGTCTTATGGTTAACGGCAAAAACGTGGACTGGGAGTCTGAAGAAGGCCAGGCTTTCAAAAGAACCTTGATACTTTCTCCAGAGGCCCAGAAGTTTGCAATTGCAAGAGAAATCATGTACTTGCAAAATGGTGGCCCCTTGATACGTGCAAGTGTAGGACCTCTTTGTCTGGCTGGAACGTACATCTCTGGCGTAGCTATAAAACAGTTCCTGGGCTTGTATTCAGCTCCAGTGCTCTTCCGTGGTCTTTACAACATCACTGTGGCCGCAGTTGGATTTGTGGCCTACTGCCTCTTGTTTGACAATGTGAGCCGAGTAGTGGAATATAGTGCAGACAGAAAAGCAGCCACTATTTCCACTGATTTTGCCAAAGGTGGAGTGGAATTCTATGATAAAATTCTGTCCCAAAATAAGATTCGTCGTACGCTCATGGGGAAAAATGGGGAGAAGATATTTAGCCCAAGTGGTAATATTATCCCAAGATATGGGATCAGATCAAAACATGCACCACTTACTTCCAGAAGGGACTTGATTATCAAAATTTTAAACATGCCCCAGGCATAGGGAAGGTATGATTGAATTTTAAACTGATGAATTATTTCTTTTTGGAAGACTTAGCCTGATTTCCAGTTTGTAACAACTTTGGTAATATTTCTACTGGGGAAGAAAGGGCTTGGTTTTTGTTTTGTTGCTCTCCTGTATTCACTGGATATGTCTGTCTTAAAAAAATTAAAGCCTTGCTTAAAGTTTGTTTGTCCTGTGTGTCTCTAAAATCTATCTTAAAAGCCCGAGGGAGTATTACCTGCCAGGCACTGCATTGGACGGCACTAAGCAGGAAAAGTTGTCATTCTTTTTATTTAGCATATTATTTTGAAGGAATATAAAAAGTGTAATACTTCACGTAGGATGTTGTGATCGTATTGTTGTCATCAAGGGAGCATGGTGTGTGTATTTAAGGTACTTTAGAAGAAAAACAAGCATACGAGTTCCTAACCATCTTGGATTATGGAGAAGAAATTAATAGCCAAAATCCAGTAGTAAGACTTAACTAGAGGAATCAGTGGAACTTATGAAGGAGTTAACTTGAGGGAGTATTACCTGCCAGGCACTGCAGTGGACGGCACTAAGCAGGAAAAGTGTGTCTATACCCTGTATTGGCCCCTGTGCTCCCTACACCCCATCTGCTTGCACCTAGTCTCGATGTATCTTTTCCGTTGCACTTCCCTGCATATTGAATTCTCAGTGGAATTTCATTCTGCAGTACTTCTCCTAAAACTTCAAGTGATTTGAAAATCAAGCTGAACAATTCATCCCTCAGAACTGAGTGCCCATAGAGAACTTATTAAGTGGATTCACTGTTCTTCACCCACTTTTGTCCTGCACCATGTCCATGGAGCAGGCCAAATTTCCACTGATTCAGTGAGCCTTATCTAATTGTGACTTAATTTAGGTATTGGCAGTGAAATTTTTGGCAGCGTGTGTCTATACCCTGTATTGGCCCCTGTGCTCCCTACACCCCATCTGCTTGCACCTAGTCTCGATGTATCTTTTCCGTTGCACTTCCCTGCATATTGAATTCTCAGTGGAATTTCATTCTGCAGTACTTCTCCTAAAACTTCAAGTGATTTGAAAATCAAGCTGAACAATTCATCCCTCAGAACTGAGTGCCCATAGAGAACTTATTAAGTGGATTCATTGTTCTTCTCCCACTTTTGTCCTGCACCATGTCCATGGAGCAGGCATTATGGTGAGAGAGTTTTGCTGTCACTTTCTTTTACTGTTGAGTGGAAGGTCATAGTGCATGTTGCACAGAAGTATACAATTACTAGCCTTCCAGTATATAGTCTCTGCCTTTTATTTCTGTAACCTCAGAATTGGAGAGGTGGAAAAGAGTTAATAGAACTCCAGTGGAATTTCATTCTGCAGATGTGGCTGTCCAAGTCTTGCAAGGGTTATGCAAAGTTCAAGTGGATGCATATACCCCAGATCTTGCAAAGTATTATAGCAATGTCAAATAATTACATTGTTCCCCTATACCAGTGATGGTGAACCTTTTTGAGCCATAGTGTCCAAACTGCAACACAAAATCAACTTATTTATTTTGAGGTGCTAATACTGCAATTAAAATCCAAATGTTGAGGTTTTAATTTAGAAAAAACTACTGCTCCTACACTGCAAGGGTTGAATGCTTTTGTTTTTCCCCCTGTGGGTATTATTAAAAAAGAAATACTTCCTGGTCCTCTTAATCCCCCATTGGGCTAGACTGGTAATAGTTGCCATTGCACCCTTCTGCTGGACCACTGCACCAGCAGAGGGGAGTGCTAAAATCTGGGATTGGAGTACGGGTAAGTAATTCTCTATGGAGACTTACGGCTTGTGTGCCCACACACAGGGCTCTGCGTGCCAGCTGTGGCACGTGTGCCATAGGTTTGCCATCACTGCCCTATACTGTTACATTGAATTGTACTGGGTATGTTGTTGAGCTACAGTATTGTATTTTTCGGTTGTATAGTTAACTGTACTTAAATGACATAATAAAAATGCTGTGTGCAGAAATTATGTGGCCTTTTCAGTGGTTCCACATGAGTAGTGGTACAATTAAAAAAAAAAGCAAACACTCTCTGCTGACTGAATAATAATTTTAATAAAGAACTGGAAGACATTAGATGGAATCAGAAAAATGTGATACAGGAATATCGACTTATGATTCTATCCCAGTGGGTACAAGCCATTTCTTTAAAAGTAGGAAAGCAAAGGACTCTGCAGTTTCACTGCTTTTCCCCTGATTCAGCATTGCATCTGTTCATGACACTAGAGCCCACACACAGTCTAAACCCTGTAGCAATGCATGTGGATGGGCTTCAGCATCATCACTGATTTCTTACAGTTCTCATGACACAATGTGGTCCAGTGAAGACCACCTTTGCGATTTAACAATGCGTTCTGGCAGCTGTCATACCACCAGCCCCCTCCATTAGCATCTGCACAATTTTGTAAGGTAGTTCTGTCATTGTCCTTATCTTTACAAGAGAACTTCATGTTGTCATGCATGTTTTTCAGCTGGGAAGAACTGAGAGAGTCACCTGCATTGCCCTCATAGGTCCCTAACTTCACTGCATAACCATGGTTCTCATCTTGGAGAACAAAGCTGTCATATTCTGCGTATCTGTGGTTGTTGTCTGCATCAACTAAATTTATTCTGACTTTGTACCATTTTTGTTCAGTAATGAGCCTAATGTACTCATTGCCCAGCCAGTGGTCTTCCTCCAAGTTGCCAAATCCATATTTGTAGGTTGTCCAGGTCTCTGACCAGGTGATCTCAGTGTTGTAGGTGTTCTGCTGGATGATTGTCCACCCGTTGCATCCATCCATATGGCACTGGACCACAAGTTTGCGGGAATGTTCAGGTTCTATTATATAAAGGCCACTTTTTCTTTCGCCATCCTGGAACACTTCATCACAGTCTCGCTTGTAACGGATACCTAATACAACAAAATATTATTTAGACTATCAATTGTATTGCAGAGCTAGATTCAAGCTTATGCAATAATAACTTACTTATTTTGTTATCTTTTAAAATTAGAAATAGTGCCATACCTGGTAACATGCTACATGTTTAGGGAAATTGTAGTACAGTAAAAGGCTTAGGCACAGTGTTTACAGGGTTTAGCCACTTCACTTAGAGCTGTAGGTACTATTAGGAATGTTCTGTTTCTTATTTTTATGGGGTTATTTGTATTAATTTTATGTTTCTGTTATAATACAACAGTAATCTTTTTTCAGTCAATCAGTTTAAGTATGGGAGTGTACATAAGATTTTTAAAAGTTTGCTCCCTCAGTCACATAAAATTTTGATGCATATGTGTAAGAATGTTAGAATATTTACTCCTGTCATAATGTATACCATAATAATGATTAACAATGTGATGATAATAGTACATTTATGAAACTTTCCCTAAATCAGTGGTTATGGGGGAAATGATAAAACTGAATTGTTAGCATTGGGCCTTATTTGCAAAATTATTTAATCTTCGTCTTCATTCAGGAAACCTTGAAAGTAATTTTCCTGCAGTACAAAAGTGAACGGGTGAGCTGTCTATGGACACCCAACCTAACCCTGTTTCCGTAGGGATTTAAACCTGGACTGAAATCTGGACCATTTTACCAGATAAATAGATTGCATGTAGAATTCACCAAACATTCACTTCTCTGTTGTAAAACATCCTTGGGGGTAATCTGGATTCAGAGAAAGAGCTAGCCTCCACACCATCTCATGTGGACAGCAACAGTCTGGAAAGGACAGTCTCTATATGTGATGCTTTTCCGTGCAATTTTGAAGCCTGAAGAAAAACAACAGGGGAGGGTAGACCATGGAGGAAGTGCAACAGAGGCAGATTATGGGTGAGAATGGCCTTGACGCTCCTAGCAGCAGAGTAAAGATGGAGAGACACGCTAAAAGCAAGGAGGAGATTTTTCCAGAGAAACATGAAAAGGCCTTTGCAGTAAGAAGATGTTTTCATTGTGACACCATTGGCCATCTTAAAAGACACTGCAAAGCTCAGATAAAGGAGGAACGCGGAGATAAGCGTCAGAGTGGCCGAGGCAGAAGAATGATGACATCAGTCCACATGGTTGCTACACCTGTGTCTGAAGAAGAACCATCGGGATTATGGACTCTGCTTGTAGCCAGACCATTGTCAATGACAAGTCACTGTTGGGGGACAGTTTTTCTCCCAAGGTAAAGAGTGTGACTTTGGCAGATGGATCTCAGGTAGAGATAATGGCACAAGGAAATGTTTATGTGTCAGGTTTGGGGACAATCATTCCTAATGCCTTATGTGTACCCAGAATGGATTATTGTCTATTAAGTGCACCATGTCTGGTCAAGTGTGGGTACAAGGTGGTGTTTGAAAATGACACAACTTTGGGAAGGTAATATGCAGTGTGCCAAAGGAAAGTTAAAAGGTGGTCTATATATTAAATTAAAGAGCAGCAGTCTGTGAGTATGTCACAAGTACACAATGAACCTTTACATGACAAATGTATACACCAGTTACACAGGGTTATTGGGCATGCTAGCTTTGGGCATCTATCCCAGTTAGCAAAGATATGTCCAGATTTAAACCTACAAAAATGTCCTAGGTTTCTGGAATGTGCACTATGCCAGAAATCAAAGGTAAAAAGGTTTCCTGATAGTAAGAAGAGTGACAGAACATCAACTAGGCTAGCTCATACATGCAGATTTGGCAGGGCCATTCAAATCCAGTGAAGGAGGAGCCAAATTCATTCTACTAATTGTTGATGATTTTTCCAGGTTTTCTCATGTTTATTTGTTAAAAACAAAGAGTGAAGCATGTGCCAAGTTAGCAATGATTGAAAGGCATTTTTCCCATAAGTTAAGTCAGTTTCAGACTGACAGGGGTGGTGAATTCCTGGGTCAAGATTTGGAGCAGTGGCTGAAAATGAGGGACATAATTCATAGAAAGACCAACCCTTACTGCTCTGCAGAAAGTGATGTTGCAGAGAGAAAATTGGGTACGTTTCAATGATGCAGGGATACCTTCTGAAATGTGTGGAAAGGCAATTGTCACAGCTGCTTAGATAAGCAACAGGTTGTGGTCAACAGCCACAAATGAAACCCCATATTATTTACTGTTTGGTAAAAGGCCTTCACTTAAGCATCTAAGGTATTTGCACACCTTCTGATACCCAAGACTTAGAGGAGAAAAAAAGTCAACCTAAATCCCAGTGCCTCAGATTTGTAGGATATGAAGCAGGTACAAAAGGGTACAGGTTCTGGGGTGGAAGTAATTAGTAACTTCAAGAAGTGCCAATTTTGAAATACACTCAAGCTGGAAGGAAATGCACACTAATTCAGAGGTATTTATTCCTTTCAGCATTGAGGTGCAGGTTCAAGCTCAAGCAAATAGTCACGTTTCACCTGTGCGAAAGGTAGTTGACAAAGATACACCCAAAGCCAAAGAGATCTCCTGCAAAGCCTAAAGTTAAACAGGAAGATGCAGAGAATGTGACACAAGGGACTGAGCCAATTGAGCAAGTGGTAATTCCTCGCAGGTCAAGTAGAGCAAATAAGTGTGTACCACCAGAAAGATTTGTAGTAAATGAAATCAGAGTATGCCAGGTAGGCTGCGAACCTCAAAGTTATAAAGAAAAGCTTGAACTGCCAGAGGATGAGCAGGAGAAATGGAACTCAGCAATGGACTCAGAGTTCAAATCACTTGTAAACAGAAAGTTCTTGAGGTATGTGATTTACCACCATCACATAGTGCAATAGGTGCAAAATGGGTGTTCCACAAAAAAGGGTTGCTGGATGGTAAATTGAAGTATAAGGCAAGATTAGTGGCACAGGGTTTTGTACAAGAAATATGCACCCACAGCTAGAGCAGAATCTTTGCAATTGGTATTGTCTCTAGCAGCAAAACAAAATGGGATAACTAATCATTTTGATTGTGACACCGCATATCCAAATGCACCATTACAAGAAATTGTTTACATGAAACAAGGACCTGGGTATGAATCTAATAAACCCCAAAGTATACAGACTAAAAAAAGGCTCTGTATGGATTAAAGCAAAGTGCAACATGCTGTTATCAGTGTTTGGATGATGCACTGGGTAAAATAAGTTTCAAAAGAAGTGTGGCAGACCAGTGTGTTTACATAAAAGGGTCTGGAGATGAATTCATGATATTATTGGCTTATGTTGATGATCTATGTATTACAGCTAAGTCAAAGAATCAGCAACTTGGTGAATATTTCAAGTTGAAAGATCTGGGAGAAGTACAGTACTATCTAGGGATAGATATACTGAGAAACAAAAAAGGTGATGTTTTCTTAAACCAGAAAAGGAAAATAGAACAGTTGGTAACAAAATTGGATTAACAGATGCAAAAATAACCACACCTGTGTCACCAGAATTCCTAAAAAAAAACGTGATTAATGTTTTCAAAATGTGGAATTGTATCTGTCTGGAATTGGAAGTTTGTTATATCTAGCGTTATGGACATGTCCAGACATTGCATTTGCAGTAGGATATCTGAGCAGGAAAGTTGCTAAATCTACACAAAGTGATTGGCAAGGTTTAAAAAGGGTTCTAAGATACTTAAAAGGAACCATGGACTATTGTTTAAAATTGTCTAAGGATGGACCGGGTGCCTAAACAGTGACGTGGTAGCGCTGCGGGTTAAACCGCAGGAGCCTCTGTGCTGTAAAGTCTGTAGATCTTCAGCTGTAAGATCAAATCCACATGACGGAGTGAGCGCCCGTCGCTTGTCCCAGCTCCCGCCAACTAGTGGTTCGAAAGTATGCAAATGCAAGTAGATAAATAGGGACCACCTCGGTGGGAAGGTAACAGCGTTCCGTGTCTAAGTCGCACTGGCCATGTGACCATGGAAGATTGTCTTCGGACAAATGCTGGCTCTATGGCTTGGAAATGGGGACGAGCACCACTCCCTAGAGTCGAACACGACTGGACAAAAAATTGTCAAGGGGAACCTTTACCTTTTACTAAAGATGGACCAGAAACACCTGTTACGTATGTAGATAGTTCATTTACAGAAGAGACTGATAGAAAGTCTGTAACAGGTTATGTAATTCAATAAGCAAATACAGCAATAGGCTGGAGAACCAGAAAACACCAGTTGCGATATCTACAACAGAAGCAGAATTTGCCACATTGTCTGAATCATGTAATGAGGTAATATGGTTCAAGCAATTACTCAAAGAAGTACAGGTAAAATGTGAAAAGCCAATTACTATTTTTGAAGATTCACAGCCCTGTATTGCAATGACTAATTCAGAAAGTGTAAAAGCCAGGATTAAATATGTGGATGTAAAATACCAAAATATGAAAAATAAAATACAAACAGGAGTAATTGAATTAAGATATTGTGAAACAGAAAAGAACCTAGCTGATATGTTTACAAAGCCTTTAAGTATAGAAAAACATGAACATATGGTAAACAGGTTGGGAATGCAAAAATACACAGAGTAAAAAAGTGTATGAACCTGTATAAATACATAAAAAACGCTTGTCATAACTATTCACGAGAAATATTCAGAGGGGTGTCAGAATGTAGGTCTAAATATTAGAGAATATTGTTTCTTTAAGAAAAGTTATGACATGTGCAGTGGAACGCTGCTGTTTCACTGTACATCTGATGCAATCCAGGTAGCAAGATTGCATCAGCAAGATGGATATAAAAGTAACCAAGTTGGTACCATGCTTCTGTGGGTGGAGTTTGAAGTACTGCATGTGATGCTGTTGGTTTGCTTTCTGTAGTGCTGTAAATAGCTGCTGTAAGTATTTTCCTGAAACTTCAAGATAAAAGCTTTCGCTGGAGAAAGACAACAAATTGTCTGTGAGTTATATTGTTAAAATCTCTCAGAGCAAAATTTCCGTTGTGTCTTATCTTTTCACTGTTGTCCGGAAAAGAGAAAATGTGACTCTACTAATTACTTAAAA